GAGAGACCTAAGAACATACTTAAAGTGCATCTACGATATAAAGCTTCCTATGAGATCAAAACAAAGTATCAGTATTTAACCACCTTGCACATATGAAACAAGCGAGTATCTTTTTCTCCTACCCAAATAAGAAACTAAATTATCATGAAAAATCTGGTCATAAAATAACTTTGATATACCTCCTCATGTTCATCATCAAACCAAATAAAGGTTGTGATGAGCGGGCAATCACATCTCCACTTCCTGCAATAAAGATAAAAAAAACAGCAACATGTAAATGTGGAAGCTATACAAACGAAGTACAAATGGAAGTACCACAACCGGTGTATTTTTACCTGGATGATGTTGGTGTCGGATCCCGCACCAGAAGTCCGAGACCAACCAAAGATTGCCACGTAGTCAAGATAAAGGCCCATAAAAGATAAAGCCCGTCGAATCCATGAGCCAAGGGAACAGTCGAAGTGGTTGTCACCACTTCGAGAATCCGAAGTGATTGCACTGTGACATGAGTTCGGTGTAGAAGACACGGGTAAGTCAGTTCAAGGACACTTGGGCCAAAAAGGCGAGGCCCATGAAGATCAGAGTCAACACAAATTCAAACGTTGAGCATTAAAGTCGAAGAATCAAAACGAACACATTTAAGAGGGAATAATTGTACTTAATTATTCATTTTAATGTCAATTCTCTATGTATAAATATAAAGGCCAATGGCCATGTAAGGGGGATCTTCCTCTCAAGAAAGAAATATATAGCAATTTTCGTAGCAACTTAGAAGTTTTTACATATTCATTTTTTGTCCCTCAAGAATAATCTTTCCTACCTAATAAAATACTTGAGTGTGTGAATCCGACATCCACATTTTGGCGCCGTCTGTGGGGAAAATTAGGATTCTTGAGTGGTCAGATTTTTCTTTACTACATTTCCGAGATAAGCAACAATGTCCGGAGGAGACGCCGTTGAGACATCATTGGCCGAAACCCTCAAAGCTATGCAGCAAACCATGTCGGACATATCACAAAAGTTCTCGGATGTGGAAAAGGCCGTCGATACGTTGCAAACATCCCAGGTATCTCTTAGTCAAAACGTCAATACCATACAAACTCGTGTTCGCTCTTTAAGTGCAGGAAACCTTGCGGGAATCCGAAGAGGGATATTCAACTCGCCAAGTTCCGCTGCACGAAATGAAACCCGCGGACAAACAACTCCCGGCGCTACTAACAATGTAGCTCAGACGTTGGAAGTAGATACACAGCTTGAGGATGAAGAACAACTCGCAGCTCAGTACGAGCAGGAGAACCTCGACCAGTTCGAGACCATGAGGAAGGTTAGCCAGGAATTAAAAGAAATGAAATCAAAATTTCATCAAGCTACAAGCTCAGAGCCAGACATCAGTCGAGTCATTGAAGAAGCTAGGCGAACATCTTTCATCTCGCGAATTGCAAGTTTAAGGATCAAAGATTCTCGGAAACTCAAGTTGGACCCTTACAGCGGATTGGAGGATCCAAAAAGCTATCTCGCAGCTTTTCTGATCGCTGCTGGAAGAGTCGAATTGGATGAAGCTGATGAGGACGCAGGTTACTGCAAGCTTTTCTCGGAGAATCTGTGTGGCCAAGCTCTAATGTGGTTCACCCAATTAGAGCCGGGTTCGATCAGTAATTTCGACGAACTATCAGTCGTATTCTTAAAGCAATATTCCATCCTTATGGATAAAAGCGTTTCGGATGCCGATCTTTGGAACTTGTCGCAAGGATCTAATGAGTCACTTCGAGTCTTCGTCACCAAATTCAAAGGAGTGCTGTCAAAACTCCCAAGAATCTCGCAGCAATCAGCTTTATCTGCCCTACGAAAAGGATTGCGACATGATTCAAGGTTTAAAGAAGACTTAATACTTCATAAACCAGACACAATTCAGGATGCACTCTTCCGCCCGAACAACTGGATGGAGGTAGAGGACGAAAAAGAAAGTTTTGCCAAAAGAAGTAAGCAAGAAAAACCGGCAATCACCGTCCCTACCAAGAAGTTCGAGCCCAGGGAGAGCAAAGGACCAAGGAAATTTGGGTCGCAACCCTTCAACAGTACCGTCGGAAAGCAATTCCAAGGGAAAGGAAGATCAAACACTTGGGTCCGTGATGAAAGTCTATATTGCGACATTCATAAAGTAACCGGACATTTAACCAAGGATTGCAGCGTTCTTAAAAGGCACCTCGCAGAGCTTTGGGCCAGTGGAGATCTTTCCAAATTCGATATAAAAGATTTTGTAAAGGAATACCACGAAGCAAAAGAAAACTCCAAAGATCAAGATTCCAAAAGACCAAGGTTATCCAACGAGGAAGAACCAAGGAGTTCGAAGGGTAAGATCAATGTGATTCTAGGAGGTTCCAGATTTTGCGGAGATTCGATAAGTTCCATCAAGAAACATAGACGAAATATCCTACTCAAAGCAAGCTTAAGCGAGGAAGTCGATTTTCAAGGTGCATCAATATCATTTAATGAAGAAGAAACGCGGTACCTCGAAAGACCTCATGATGATGCTCTAATCATTACCCTCGACGTTGCCAACTTCGAAGTATCAAGGATCCTTATAGATACAGGCAGTTCGGTCGACTTGATCTTTTTAAGTACTTTAGAAAGAATGGGAATCAGCCGAGCGGACATAGTGGGGCCTCCGTCCCCATTAGTTACATTCACAAGTGAATCAGCCATGTCTCTCGGGACAATCAAGCTACCGGTCCTTGCCAAAAAAGTATCAAAGATCGTGGACTTCGTTGTCTTCGATAAGCCCGCAGCTTACAACATCATCCTTGGTACTCCCTGGATCTATCAAATGAAAGCAGTCCCCTCTACATATCATCAATGTATCAAATTTCCAACGTCAAGAGGAGTGGAAACAATTCGGGGAGATCAAGAAGCTTCACGGACGTGTTATCTAGCTAGCCACCGTATGAAGATTCAATAGCAATTAACGAAGCCCGCAAAAGAGGGACTAAAAACAAAATTTCCTAGCGGGCAGAAGAAAGATGATGTAGTAATTGAAGTGGTGTTGGAAGAAGACAAGCCGGACCGGAAAATTCGAATTGGGGCAACTTTGACTGGCCAAATAAAAGAAGCTTTGATCGAACTCTTAAAGAAAAACAAAACATCGTTTGCATGGTCAGCAGCAGACATGCCTGGTATATATCCAAATATAATTTGTCATGAGCTAAACGTGGACCCAAGCTTCAAGCCGGTGAAACAGAAAAGAAGAAAGCTCGGAGTGGAGCGAGCCAAAGTGGTAAATGACGAAGTGGATAAACTTTTGAAGATAGGGTCCATAAGAGAAGTGCAATACCCGGAATGGGTAGCGAACACTGTCGTCGTCAAAAAGAAGAATGGGAAAGATAGGGTTTGCATCGATTTTACAGACCTAAATAAAGCATGTCCCAAAGATAGTTTCCCGCTCCCACATATAGATCGCCTTGTAGAGTCCACCGCTGGGAACGAGCTGTTAACATTCATGGACGCCTTCTCGGGTTATAATCAAATAATGATGAACCCCGAAGATCAAGAAAAGACGTCATTCATCACTGATAGAGGTATCTATTGTTACAAGGTAATGCCTTTTGGTTTGAAAAATGCAGGAGCAACTTACCAACGGTTGGTTAACAAAATGTTCCACAATCACCTCGGAAAGACAATGGAAGTCTACATAGATGATATGTTGGTCAAATCGTTAAAGAAAGAAGATCATGTTAAACATTTGGAGGAATGTTTTGATATTCTCAATAAATATCAAATGAAGCTGAACCCGGCGAAGTGCACATTTGGAGTCCCATCTGAAGAATTTCTTGGCTACATCGTGACAGAAAGAGGGATTGAAGCCAATCCAAATCAAATTAACGCCTTTCTAAACATGTCGTCTCCAAGAAACTTCAAAGAAGTACAACGGTTGACGGGGCGGATTGCGGCTTTGAATCGTTTTATCTCGAGATCAACAGATAAGTCGTTACCTTTCTACCAAATTCTAAAAGGGAACAAAGGATTCCTTTGGGATGAGAAGTGTGAAGAAGCTTTTGGGCAGCTTAAGGCATACTTAACCACTCCGCCTATACTGTCCAAACCGGAAGTGGATGAAAAACTTTATTTGTATGTATCGGTTTCAAACCACGCGGTTAGTGGAGTCTTGGTTCGGGAAGACCGTGGGGAGCAGAAACCAATTTACTATGTAAGCAAGTCAATGACGGATCCGGAAACCAGATACACAATGATGGAAAAACTTGCACTCGCGGTGGTAACTTCGACTCGGAAGCTGCGTCCATATTTTCAATCCCATCCGGTTGAATTATTAACTAACCAACCACTCCGAACAATACTTCATAGTCCAAGTCAGTCCGGACGTTTGGCGAAATGGGCGGTGGAGTTAAGCGAGTACGATATAGAATTCAAAAGCCGGATCAGTATGAAAGCTCAGGTCTTAGCAGATTTCTTAACCAAGCTACCAATACCTGGAACGATAGAGCATTCGGAGAACCAAACATGGAAGTTACACGTAGATGGGTCTTCAACAAGGCAAGGATCCGGAGTGGGAATCAAGTTGGAGACTCCAACATCAGAAGTTCTGGAACAATCATTCCGTTTGTTATTCAATGCCTCCAACAACGAGGCAGAATACGAAGCCCTGATTGCCGGACTTCGATTGGCGCAAGGAGTTGGAGCTAAGGAAATATTGGCTTATTGCGATTCGCAGTTAGTAGTTAACCAATTTAATGGGGACTATGAAGCCAAAGACTCAAGAATGGAAGCGTACCTCGAAGTGGTGAAGGATCTATCTAAAAATTTCTCAAAATTCAAATTAATCCGCATACCTCGAGGAGAGAATACAACTGCGGATGCACTTGCCGCATTAGCGTCAACATCAGATCCTGAGTTAAAGAGAGTTATTCCAGTAGAATGCATCTCGGAGCGAAGCATTCAAGACAGCAAGGAAACCCTCGTCATTACAAGGTCTCAAGCAGCGGCACGCGACCGTGGCGAACCAGAGATCGAACCGCCACCCAACAAACGGAGGAAGTCAAGGGGATCAAATGCATCTAACAAGGAACCTGTTATCTTAGCTGAAGATGTGATTCCAGAAACAATATTAGAAACCGAACCGTTAATCGAGGAGGATATTCTTGAACCAAACGAACATCCCGAGCCAGAGCCACGAATATTTCACAAGGTTGATCAAATTCCGGCTAAAGACTGGGGGGCTGACTGGAGGGAGCCAATAAAGCACTACATCATGACATGTGAGCTCCCAAAGAATAAATGGCAGGCCAGGAAAATGAAAGTCGTTAGCGCGAAATTTTGTCTGTCAAAAGATGCGTTATATAGACGAGGTGTCAGTGACCCTTACCTATTATGCATTTTTGGGCCCGAAGTCGAAATTGTCATGAGCGAGGTGCATGAAGGATTATGTGGAAGTCATTCATCAGGAAGAGCTATGGCTTTTAAAGTTAAAAGAATGGGGTATTTTTGGCCCACTATGATCACAGATTGTGTTAAGTTCGCCCAAAGATGCAAGCGCTGCCAACTCCATGCACCATTGATCCATCAACCGTCGGAATTATTCTCCTCCATTTCCGCCCCATACCCGTTTATGAGGTGGTCAATGGACATCATTGGACCATTACACAAATCAACTCGAGGTGTACAGTACCTTTTAGTCCTTACGGACTACTTTTCAAAATGGATTGAAGCTGAGGCGTATGTTAGTATCAAGGATTCGGCGGTGAAGACCTTTATTTGGAAAAACATTATATGTCGACATGGAGTTCCATACGAAATAGTCACTGATAATGGACCGCAATTCATTTCACACGAGTTTGATGCCTTTTGTGCGGACTGGGGAATCAAAGTTAGTTATTCTACTCCACGATATCCGCAAGGAAACGGTCAAGCTGAAGCCGCGAACAAGACAATATTAAGCAATCTCAAGAAACGCTTAAGCCATCTAAAGGGAGGATGGTATGAAGAACTCCAACCCGTCCTGTGGGCCTATCGTACAACCCCTAGGCGACCTACAGGAGAAACTCCATTCTCTTTGGTTTACGGCATGGAGGCGGTAGTACCAGCTGAACTCAATGTGCCCGGACTTCGTCGAACAGAAGCACCGTTAAATGAAGAAGAAAATTCAGCAATGCTTAATGATTCACTAGATACCATAAATGAAAGGCGTGATCAAGCTCTAATTCGGATCCAGAATTACCAACAGGCAGCAGCCCGTTATTACAATTCTAAGGTTAAAAGTAGGCCGTTCTTTGTGGGAGATTATGTATTAAGGCGCGTCTTTGACAACAAAAAAGAAGAGGGCGCCGGTAAACTCGGTATTAATTGGGAAGGACCTTACATTATTACCGAAGTGGTTCGGAACGGTGTTTATAGGTTGAAAGACTTAGAAGACAATCCAGTCAAGCGACCTTGGAATGTGGTCAACCTGAAGAAGTTTTATGTTTAGAGCTACATACATTGTTTATGTACATGAACTACGGTGTGGCTTGATCCCGAAATGGGTACGTAGGCAGCTCGGAAACGAGTTCAGCTATTAATAAAAATTTGTTTTATTAAAGGAAAAAGGTTCGACCGTGCGAACAAGTGAAGCAAATAAAAGGTTCGGCTAAGCGAACACACAAGAAATTGGGAATACAACGTTCATTCAAAAGACGGAATGTCCCTCATCGCACACTTCGGACTATGAAAATCTTGTTGACGAGCAGAACACTTCAACTCCTTTACCAGCAAGATCGAGGACCGGCATCATGCAGTCCGGAATTCGAGCAAAGTCTGAAATTCCAAGCTCAATCCACTCCCCGGGGTGAGATTCAAGGATGTGAAGATCTCTTGACACCATAGTAAGCTTGCGTTGCATCCGGTTAATCCTCTTCCGAAGTCTCCTCTTTTCCGACATAAGCTTCCGGTGTTGAAGCTCGAGTGCCTCTATGAATGCCGTCGCTGTTCCTTGGTCTCTGATTGGGAGATCCCTGATCAAAGCACATGGGGCTCGGATCTGAGATCTCAAGAAGCCGCGAAGTGGAGGAGGCTGCCTGTTTGGCTCATTTGGAACATCTTCGCTCACCATTCCGATTCTGGAGAAGTCAGGCATAGATTCTGAACAACAAAGATTGAACTCCATACCTGCTAAAATAAAAAGAGTGGTGAGGAGTAAAGGGAAATTGAAACTATAATTTATAGGAACCCCATATCCTTAGCAAGCTGTGGATTCTATCCGGAGAATGGAGTGATTCGCGGAGAGATTTATGCCCTCGAACAGATCCTGCATTAAAAGACGCATCTCCGAAAATATTTGAAAAGAAAGGAAAGTTGCGAATGTTTCCAAAAATAAAAAAGGGGCCGAAGCCCATTACGAGTTTAAAAATAAGGGAAGAAGTTAAAGAACATTTATGGAAGAGGCTCAGGAACAGGCTCCTTCATCGCCGGTTTAGTCTTCGAAGTGGACGCCTTGTTCTGGGCATCCACTTCGGAACGATCCCGAATGCGTTTCCGACAGGTGCTGGCCTCCTCTTCGTCTACTTCTTCGCTGTCAGATGAAACGGCGCAGACGGGTGCGTTCACGGGACCCGGGACTCCTTTAGCGCGGAGATACATCTGAAGCATCTTCGGGATCTCAGCAACGGAGTCGAAGTTCCGCCACTCCCATTGAAAGGGGTCACTTTCCAAGGCCCGTATCTTCCTCTCCACCCGAGCGATGCGAGCCTCGAGCGTCTGCCTTTTGAGTCCCAGCCGCTGCCTCTCTTCACACAAGCGACGGTGCTTGTCGGCAACCTAGCATAAAGATGAGTGAATAAGACGAAACAAGAAGTTTTTGAATCAAAAACTTTAAATATTTACCTTGTCAATAAAATCGCAAGCCTCTTTCTTCTCCTTTGAAGGAAAGTGAAAGACGGTGTGAGGGAAGAGAACGCCGGCCGGTTCAAAGCCGTCGCCGGACAAGAAAAGTGGGCTGCCGGGATCGATGGGGGCTACTTTTTCGTTTTCCATTCTCGAAATATTTCTCAAGTAAGATTCTAAAATTGTGTTTAAATAAAGCTTAGAAGTAGGTAAGCCTTTAATTATAATGATTTAGGGTTTGTCTTGGAACCATAAATCCAATAATGGTAGTGTGTCCGAATGGTTTAAACCATTTTTGGAAAATCGAGAAAAGGCAGTTATTGCATTAAAGACGAGCCGTTTTCCTTACTTATAAGAAGGGAAAGCGCAACCGTCGCATTAACTACAAAAGTTTCTGAGGCCCAAGCCCAATAAGTTTATCGAGTTGACTAAACCCGAGGTGGGGAACTCGCTTTAAGCCGAGCTCAGTTCTCGCATTCTAAAGAGAAAGGTCTGATCAGCCTAAAAATCTCAAAAGCATAACCACAAGGCCACAAAAGGTTAAAAGCGGACTTTGCAAACCCGCATATAATTTTAACCAAACCCCCTTGGGAACATAACCTAAAAAGGTTTAAAAGCCTCCTCAGGCAAATATCTTGTTCAAAAGAAATGATAAAGCCTCCTTAGGCCAAAAATAAGTTCGAAATTAAGTCTTAAAATTAAAGGGACAACTCCCAATTTAAAGTGGACGCAGCCACTACGGAGTGATATCCACCTCGGACCCCGGCTCAGCAACCGAAGTTTCGTTCACCTCCTTAGCTGGTGCTTGGTCGGGTGGAGCTCTTGGTCCGCCCTCTACATTACAACCATCCTCCAAAGTGACCGCCGGTGCCACAGGTACTTCGGGTGGGACGACATCCTCCGCCTCACTTGAACCTGGGAAGGACAGTCCTAGTCAACTTAAGAAAAAGTGAGGAAAAGGTAGTAAATGTCAGGAGCCAAGCATTACCTGCCCAATCTAGACCCGATTCACTTATAGGAGGCGATTCAGTGAAGAATTCCTCGAAGTCCTGAGGGTTGAAGGTCGAAGTAGGAAGAGCTGCCAAGCGACTCCGCTTTTCAGAAAGATTAGCCGACAGTTCGGTCCTCTCATGCTCCTCGGAGAAATCTGTATCATGGATTTGATCCAGCAAGATCAGGTTGCTCTCGTGCTCCTTGATGTCTGATTCCAAATCAGACCTAGCTTTCTCGGTTTGCATGAATCGGATGGCCCCTTGGATCAACTCCATCCCGCGTCCCTTAACCTCTTTTCTGGCTTTTGATGCCGACCTCGCCAACTCGGAGTCACGCAATTTGGCAATCGCCTTGTACTTCGCGTTAAGCTCAATAAGCTGGTTGTTCAGGGTATCGGCGGTTGATTCGGATTCATGAAGTCTACCCTAAACACCAGAAAGCTCACCCTGGAGTTTGAAATTTTGGTCATACTGGTCTTGTAGCTCCCCTTTTATCTTCGCAAGCTAAGATGATAGACCATCAACCTTGTCCTCCAAATCATGCTTGGAGTCGGTAGAAGAGCGGAGGTCAACTTCGAGATTAGAAAACTTGTCCTTCCACGTGTCGATCTCTTTCTCCCGACCAATGACCAACCCTTCGTAATGTTCGATTATGTCATTGAGCTCGCCGTTCGCCTGTAAACCCGGAATGACGGATCAGTTCGAAAAATGACGGTAAAGTCAGAAATTGAAGCGGAACTAACCCGAGATGAATGATGAGCATGAAGTAGGTATCGTTCACGAATTGCAGAGCGCCACTTGTTGAATTCCGGCAGGATCGCGCCTGACCGGGTTTTGAAGCACCGAAAAACGTTACCTTCTTTCTCCATGGCTACGAAAGCGAAAGAGAAAAGGTCTTAGAAATTCAAAATAAGTACAAGACCAAAAGAATACATGTGCATCGTCATACCTGAGAGCGATTTGATCTGAGGAACAAGAGCAGGCTTTGTCTTCGGAGAATCATCTCGAGACTCAGAACTATCCTTCTGAGAAGTTGCACCCAGGTTCGTCTTCTCACCACTACGTTGAGAAGAAGAAGACATATCAACAGGACGAGGCGGACCCATTGGTTCAGTAGGAGGGGACGATCGAGGAGAACGGTCAATCCGGGCCCTTGACTTCTCTCTTCGCGGAGAAGAACCACTACGGGATGACCGGTCCCTCTTTTTGCGAATTAAATCCTTGAGCGGTTCATTGCTAAAGTCATCCCGGGAAGAACGATGAGAATCGCGGTTAGGAGATTGAAGCCTCCGGGAAGAACGCTCGTCGTGACGTTCACGTCGAGGTGTCAATCTGAAAACAGCGACGGATCTGGCTCCTTCGGTGCTACCGTCGTCAACCAATAAGGTTTTGCTATAATCTTTTTGTCAATGGCGGTCGCAAGGAACGCCTTGTTCTCGTCACAAGCCTCAGCCATCGGCTTGGAGATCATTTTTCGCTGGGCAGTGAGAGCCCGAGCTGACATTCCTTGGGTTGAGGGAGGGGGCGGAAGACGATGAAGATGGTTGGGAGGGCTCATCCTGAGTTTTCGATTGGCTTCTATGAACCGATCGAGAGTGAAAGAATTCCAAAGGGTTTCCCCTTCGAGGATTATTTTGAAGAAGCCAATGAATTCCTCAGTTGGTAAAGTCGGAGCGACGAAAGCTGCGAAGTGAAAATAACAAGTTTAATCAATAGGAATAATAAAATTGGAGGAATGAATGCGACCTAATTTCTACCAGGTTTCGCGGACCACTTCGATGGAAGTAAATCTGATAGACTTCCAATCGAAGCAGGGGTTTTCTTAATCAGGAACCAAGGGTGATGCCAATTTTCATCCTTGTTTGGAAGATGTGAAATGACGTTCCTGTTAGCATTAGGGTATGCCGAGAAATACCCCGTCTTCTTCGATGAACTTCTCACGCTTAGAAGCTCATTCAACTCGGGGACCCCTATGATGTATCCGGCCTCCGCCGCTACTGTTATAATTCCAAGTATGGTTCGGAGAAGATTGGGGGTCAATTGAGGAAGAGCGATCTCGAGAACCGCCAAGTACCGAACTAGGGCTTCGGGAAGCGGGAAAGTTAATCCGCAACCCTTGAAATAAATCTCGTACACACAGAAGTAACCATCGCGATGGTTCTCTGGGGATTCTGTGGGGGCAGCTATTTGTGCTTCCGCCATAATTTCCGGCGGAATCTGGCAAAGCTCTCTCAATCGCTCGAGGGATTGAAGAGTACAAGTGGATCTATAGTGCGGACCAGCAATATCATTAGGGCGAGTGCACTCGTCATTACTAGGGCGCCTATCGTCGAATGACGGAGATTCGGGCCTTTCGGAATCAGAAGTCATCGGAGAATATGAGAAATTTAAAATCCGGCAAAGAGAAAATCGGCAAGGAAAGAGAAGAGAAAATTTTCGATTAATGCGTAAGAGTAAAAGTGATGATGAAAGAAGTTACCTCACGAAAGCTAAGTGATAATGATGGAACCGTCTTGGAAATCGTGGAAGAAGTGGGAAGGTTTTTTCCCGATTTAATAGTAAATAAACGATATGCGGTCATAATGGCGACAGATGTCACGCGACTAAATATGGGTAGCACCGAAATTAAAGGACTGATGGGATCTTGGCGGGAAAATCAGAAGATTCCTCGGAACGCAATCTTTGGTCATTAAAGCATTTAAAGTCCTCCGAATTGGAATAGCACTTCGAAGAACTTGGGGGGCTAATTGTTGGTGTCGGATCCCGCACCAGAAGTCCGAGACCAACCAAAGATTGCCACGTAGTCAAGATAAAGGCCCATAAAAGATAAAGCCCGTCGAATCCATGAGCCAAGGGAACAGTCGAAGTGGTTGTCACCACTTCGAGAATCCGAAGTGATTGCACTGTGACATGAGTTCGGTGTAGAAGACACGGGTAAGTCAGTTCAAGGACACTTGGGCCAAAAAGGCGAGGCCCATGAAGATCAGAGTCAACACAAATTCAAACGTTGAGCATTAAAGTCGAAGAATCAAAACGGACACATTTAAGAGGGAATAATTGTACTTAATTATTCATTTTAATGTCAATTCTCTATGTATAAATATAAAGGCCAATGGCCATGTAAGGGGGATCTTCCTCTCAAGAAAGAAATATATAGCAATTTTCGTAGCAACTTAGAAGTTTTTACATATTCATTTTTTGTCCCTCAAGAATAATCTTTCCTACCTAATAAAATACTTGAGTGTGTGAATCCGACATCCACAGATGACACCACAAGATCACAAGCAAGCGACATCTTGCCAAAACATGTAACTCAGTTATTCTCATGAGCGTAACTCAGTTGCAAGAAGTCAAGAACAGTCACATAGAGATCAATTAGATATCAATTATTTACCAAAACATTAAAATTGATATATCAAAATGAAACTCATAAACCTTCAACAGAAGTTTCACCAAGCTCTTCCTGCAAAAGAAAAAATTCATCGATGTAAATTAAAACTTTACATGAGACAAATACCCAAAACCCAAACACAATGTCACCGTAAATGTCAAATTCGACTTACACGGATGAAGATCGATGAAAAGTGACAATGAAGGATTGAGACAGAGATCGAAGTACTAGACTGAGATTAAGAAAAAACAATAGAGACTGAATCGAACGAGATGCTGAATTGAACGAGAAATTGATACAGATTGAGACTACACATAAGAGGATCGAGATTGACATTCAGAGAACGAGACGAAGATAGATTTGCTACGATTGAATATGAACATACCTGTTGGAGATCGAGAGAAATCGAGAGATATCGACTGAGATTGAGTTGCAGATTGGAGAATTCGAGTGAAATCAAGTGAGATGTGTTGTTGACTGTGAGAAATCGAGAGAGAAGAAGTTTATTTTGCCTTAAGAAAAAAATGAAAAAGTGATGTTTCTTGTTTTAATTTATTTTGCCTTAGCCAAAATTTCACATTTTTCCCTCTTAACAGATTCAATAGCGGGAATTAAACTTTAGTAACCCGAAAATTGGCCGCGTCAATTTCAGCATGTCCCGCTTAAATCATCTATAGCGTTTACAATTCAAAAAACGCTATCTTTAAATCACGATCAAGTCAAACATAGCAGAGACATAAAAACCGCTATTTTTTAGTGCTATCAATACCCACATTTCCTGTAGTGTCAGCTAAAGTAGTCCCTCCTCCCTAGTTTACTTTTTTTTTCACAAATCGTATTATTATAACATCACAAACGTTACAAAAAGATATTACAGTGGAAACATCCACAACATAACTGGGTGATCTGATTAAAATTAAAGTACAAACTTTGAATGCAACAAAGTTTGTACTTTTAATCAAACATCCCTAGTCTACTTAAGCTATTTGAATGCAACAAAAACAAACAAAAAAAGAATAATTAATTAGATAAAGTAGAATATATATATATGAACAAGTTTTAATTATCTATATCTTATTATTTTTAATTATCCGATGGAGAATCATGCACATACATACTATCATAAGATCGATGTTACACTTCATACATATTTTCTTTCTTTTTTAAATGCAAAACTTCATTTAAATTCTTGTTTTAAAAATAAGTTAATTAGATATGATATAATGTCATGTATAGAATTATCGTTTCATAATTTGTCAAGATCAAAAGACAAAAAAAAAAAAAAAACACGAACTTTTTCTTTGTTTGTCAACGATACGAATGTTTTACATGATGATGTATTATGGAGATCGAGTAATGTACTAAGCTAGTAAATTTGATGTGTTATGCAAATTAAAAGAAGCAAAATTTCTTTTTTTACAGTAACGGTTTCGTTAAAGTAACATTGACTATTAAAAAATTTGACACATGTCGGCGAGCTAAAAGCCTCGAACATCCCGCTGGTCTATGAGAACATAAATCTGATGTGGCAAAAAGTCCCCACACGGTTTGCTTAATTGCGGCAATAACTAAGAAAAAGCTCCAAAAGCAAATTTTAATTAGTCAAATAATCTTTTGATTACTACTAAAAGTGATTCGTTTGGTTCTTTTTCTAACATCTAATGATTTATAAAACTTGGTAGTTAGGCTATTAGGTGTCGCGAATTCTTTTTATTCTAAAACTTTAATGGAGTCGGTTATCAAATTATTTGTATCCATCCTTTTGTAGGATATACAAATATAGAATGAATAAAAGATTCGAAAATGTTGTATGGGTTTTATAATAGTGTGCTTGGGGTTTTAAAACAGTGTTTTACTTCTAAATATCTTTTATGAAATCATAATTCTGCTGACTTAATTTCATAGTGCTCCTTGCCAAAGTTCTGCCGTGAAATCGTAATCACCATACAATATGATAGTGCTAGAATTTGATAAATTTTTAGTAATTACAAAGTAGATGTTATTATTAGGGTAAATCTAGGCTAATAGGCATTAATCATTCAGATTGTTATACATGATGGGTGTTGAACTCACAAAATGTTTACCAAACATATTTTACATACAACATTTGTTTCACATAAACTATTAATCTATCAATGTGCATGGATTCGTGAACTTGGTAGAGTGAGCTCACATCTATTGTATAATTTGGTTAGTGAGGTTTCGTTCTGGAAAAGCTCATGGATTTGATTTTCGGGTTGCTCTCACATGACGGAAAAGGCGTATGTGGTTGAGGACTTTGAGTTATCTGCCGTTGACGGCCCGGTCTCGGACGTCCAGTGAAAGGCTTCTAATGTTATCAGTCTTTCGTAGTTAGGCTTCTTCTTCTGTGCGCTCGCCTTTCAGCTCCAACAACAAATCCGGAATGAACAATCGAAATCGTCTTCGCTTCATCTAACTCCTTTAGCTTCGTGCTTTGGTCGAGTAGATGGACCGAGTTCTAGTTATGGTTTATGCTTCCATGTTTTTAACTTTTTTGCTATGGGACCATCTCTTTAGGTCTATGATCATCGATTGTAAACCTAAACATTTTTCATTTTTATGAAATATTAACATTTTTAGCAAAAAAAAAAAAAAAAAAATGTGCATGGATTCTCGGCACTTAGGTATACTGTGGCCATCATGTAGTTTATTGTAATTGGTATTAGGTTTTGTAATGACAAATGGAAGGAATTTTATGAAAATGATTTAAACGAATTATCCACTAGCTACCAATAATATCTTAGTTATTATTAACCTAAAATCTAAATGACTAGAGACACCACACCAACCTTATAATATATTGTATCATAACAAATAACCAATTGCATAATAGTTTTCTAATTGTTGTTATCCCTTCTAAATCATCTTGTGAATGCACATACGTCCAAAGCAGCCATACTTTGACGGAGAAATAATCGACATCTTCTGAATAATAACAATAATAATTTCTAGAACAAAGACCTAAATAAGTAAACCCGTGATAGAGAAAATTGAATGTTGGAAACCAAAAATAAAAAATCCACTAAATTTTTACCGGCAACGGCCAAATGTCATTAAATTAAAGTGTAAATAGCTTCACGATCACAACCGATACGATCAAGAACCACCGACTCTTCCCTTAACCACCTCTACTTTTTATTTTATTTTTTTGCATAATTATTATGTAACTGCTTCTTTTATTATAAGTTGTTATTTAATAAAAAGAAGAAGTAGGATACACCAAACACTAATTAATGATAATTAATTTTAGTATTGACATTATGTCTGTTTCTGTAGAATTTGTTGATATTGATTTTTCTCATATCCAAGGTTTAAAAGCTGGCAATTTCTTTCTTCTTTATTTAGCGTCGAAATTATCATACCTTTGACCATATATACCAAATATGCAAATTAAGAGGAAAGAGCTAGTGGTGGACAATGAGAACCACTGATGATAAACACGAGAAACAAATAAAGAAAAGCCAAAACTATGCACAATAATACTTTTTGGTAAAGACACCTTTAGAGCAGCATTAACGGTGGTATCTTAAAAATATCTTAGAATTAAAATTGATTAAAAATAATCAAACCAACAAAATTAATCTAAGATTTGTCTCTTAGTTAGGATGTTTTTGTTAGTTTAAGATGTTGATACGTGTCACTGTGTAACAGGTTCAAAAAACAAACAAAAGGAGAATTTTTTTCTTCTGTATGTTTTAATTTTTTTCTTCTGTATGTCCTTAGAGCAGAAAAGATGTTGATAAATTGTATCTCATCTATGTTTTAATTTTTTTAATTTATAACTATTATTAAATTTTCTATAATTATAAATTTTATTTTTGTATTAATATTTGTTTTTCTAAGAACCACATGTTAAGAACCTACCATTAATCACACAAAAATCTTCACCCAAAAATACTATCTCTTACTTATCACTTTTACAAATATATTACTTAAATATTCCTAAGATTTATTTCTAAGATATTACCAATAATCATGCTCTTAGCCCATAATCAATACTCTATCTTCTTTTGGGACTATATTTATAATCTCCACATAAATAATCACATTCTTTTTTTATTTATACATACATTTCAAAACAATGTGGAATTTAAATGGCATAATGCGGTGTGTCTATTACTAACATAAAAACAGTGTTGTTTGTATATTCCTCTTCAATGGTTTTCGAAGTTTTAGAGAGAAGTGAAAAATATAGAACTTCTCATTTTGACTATACATATATTAAATTGCAGAATGGGAAAATCACAGATTATATTTTCATTTTGCATATGACATAACTTTTAACTATGCACCCAAAATGATTGATTCTTGTTGATTAGCAGCCTAGACTCAATCAATTTTTCATCGAATATTTGATTTCCCAAAACATAGCACAATATCATTGGATTTCGTCTTCGTAAAATTGATGATAAAATTAGTCGACGAAAACCAATCAAATGAAAGTGAAATATAGAATACCAAAACCCAATACATTGTCCAAAAAATTATAAATATAATTTGATTATCAACAATAAGATCCTCTAGTGTTGATAATCAAATACTTAGATGGATGGATATAATTTCTTTTTAACTCTACTGTGTTAATACAATTTATACTCAATTATCCGCAAGTATTTTTCTGTGTACAAATCTCCAAGAATTAGAATGGTATGACTATTAAAGGTTCATGTTAATACTTGTTTTAATTGCAATACCTTAAAAACATTATTATGTTATATATCTCAACTCTAAAAATAAATCCAGTCAATTTGTCACACTTCTAACATGATTTCGAACTTTTAAACAACTAAAAAAGTAGTATATATATATTTGTGAATTTTTTTTATAAACCGATTTAAGTTGTAAACCTTTATTTACTTCCACTCGAAATCAATTCTTCTTCATTTCTAAATAAAATCTTATATTTAAAAAAGATGGTGACCTACAAATAATTGATCAAAAAATGGTACCACAACTTTAACTTCTAAAGTTGATATATATCTCATAATGGGCTTATATTATATGTGATTTGGTGAAGAAACAAATATCATAAAATAAAAACTGAGCAGCTTAAGATTGACCCATTTTTTTAAATTAAAAAAAAAGAAGTATATAACGTATACTTTGCAAACTACGAAGACGCTCCATTCCAAAAGCAAACACAAAAATCGAATTTTTATATCTTTATTTTATTTTTTCATAAAAACATTAATCAAATAATAACAAAATAAACAATTTCAAAAAAAAAAAAAAAACGAATAAGTGTAGGCCTGAGCTGTGTTTGAGCTGTCTTCTCTTTCATTTAAATCCCCACACTCACTCTCTCTCTCTCCCTCACACAAACCTCTCCCAACTTTTTCATTTCCCATTTTACCCTTCTTCCTCCTTCGAATTTTCAAACCTCTGCCACTCCTCTCGCAGATGTTTCGTATCGTGAAA